AACAACCCTCCCCTATTCTGACAGGTGGCCAGTAAGAACACTTTGGATACACGCCTCCCACTGCAAGAAAGTCCCGAACACCCTGAGGGAAAATGGCGTCATCTACACCATGACAACTATTGTGTATATTTACCTTTTTTCTAAATGAGTCTGACAGAGGCTCAACAGGTGGATATGCACTGAAATAGGAGCCGACACCACTATAATTTTGGTACAACTCATCCAACACTCATGTAAGCTTAGTTTTACAACTTTGATTTCTGTAGTAACAGATCCCATGTGGTGCTATGACCGTAATCTATATGATCTTGACATCAAACGAGCATGTTTATGCATAGTAGTTGACCAGGTATACATATGTGTCATGCGATGATTACTGGGGGACCCAAAAGATTTAGAATAATGATAGAAGGGATTTGGACTGTGTGAGTGTGCCCTTGTAAAGGCCATTATGATGCCTCTCCACATCCCTAGCAGAGAATAGTCCCTGACCCAACGCCTGGCCGTAAGGAGGAAGACAAAAAGCTCGTTCTTGGATAGTTTGTTGACCCACAAGGTATATAGATGCCTATTTGGAGTCCCAAGGGGGGTTGTCTAATAAATTTAAAGCCAAAGAACCCAAGTAAAGCAGGGTTTTGAAAATCCCTGATTCCCATGTATATACTTGTTAATAAAAATGTGAGATTTAGATAAATTACATATTACTACACACCAACAGAGGTTTTAGTGAATTACACCAGGGATGCCTCTCAAGGAATCGTTGACCAGCTATACCCCTACATCCTACATGACATTCCACGAATATTAGGATGGCTCTAAGACTGATTTTAGCAGAAAAAGGAGGTGTCCTGTAAATTGATAGAAGGAACCGGAACATGTTGTACATATATTCCTGAGCAATACTGGCCCGAATGGTAAGTGATACTCTGGTTATAGATAATAATTGGAAGATCTGTCAGTGGAGCTGAAGAAGAACTCAGGTAAGTCCTTCAGACCCGTGGGAATCAATATTTTTTAGCTTGGATGAGTGGGTGGAAAAACAGTGCTCGCCCTATAGATAGGTAACTGTACTATAATTCTATTACTCTTTTAGCTCTGATTTTGGTACTGTTGTATTCTAACCCGATTTGGTAAAGAAGTTAAATAGCAGCACACGCTGTAGACCACAGAGACACCTACCTTCCGTGAACCAGGACCAAGATGAAATCCCCATATGATGGATTTTGTAGGGATTAGCATCTGACTGCCTGTATGTAACAAAAGTTCTGTAGCGCAAGGGATGTGATGAAATAGTCATCTACTTTTGTCTAACGTAGCAGCACAAAATGAGTATCTCAAGTACATAAGTGAAACAGCTGTGCTAGGCCTTTATAGGGAACATGAGCTAAACATAGGTCCATATATTAAGGGGGGACTGTGATGGATTTTGGTAATACATGCCTATTTCGATATTCCTTTATTGAATATATAATCCATATGGTACGCTATTTCTATCAGTTTATTTATGAATATATTTACGTTTTATACGTTGTAAGCTACAGTATGTTCGTGTGGAATAATTCTTCTGCCCTGCGTAGGGCTTTGTGTACTTTAAGTAAATCCTTGCTTGAAGAAATAATTTTTGCTCACAGGAACAGACCCCCCTCCCATCAGTGTAGATTTGGAAAGACAAAGATATTGTTGTTTTCTCTTTTTAAGATAAGACTGAAGAAGATCACACCTGATACCAATGTGACGGAGAATTTTGTTTATCGTGTAAAGTGACCAATCAACGACTAATATAAATGCTTATGCCTGGTTGTAGTCACGTGATGTTCGCATCAATTTTTTTCATATATACAGTCCTCACGTGAAATATTTCATTTCAAATATATTCAGAGAGAAGTTTTCACACAGACCAAAGGTATCAGATGAGAGTTCTCTTTATGTGCGCACATTCGCACAAGCTGGACCCAGCGTCATAAATTTTGGACAGGAACAGATAAGCACTGGATATGATAAGTCCAAAGACTAAAACACCATGTCATTAAACATATAAGTAAGTAATAACACTCACTGGCCACTTTTAATTAGGTACCAAATGTTTCAAGTGCTTAATTAACACGAACTTGCTAGATCAGCCCTGATACATATACATGGCAAGCAACTCAATGAATTTAGTACATGGGTGGAGACGACAGGCTGAAGTACGAAACTGGAGCATCAGAGAATGGGTCAAGAAGTGGGAGTTTAAGGTGAAACTTGGAAATGTGGACATGGTTGTAAAAGCCAGGACTGCTGGTCCTGAGTATATCAAAAACTGCTGATCTAACTGGGATATTCCACACACAACCATCTCGAGGGTTTTACGAGAGAGGAATGGTCCCAAAAAGGAGAAAAAATCGCGGTGAGCGACCAGTTGTGTGAGACGGAAAATGTCTTGTTGATGTCTGAGGAGAATGGGCAGACTTGGAGGAGTTGCTGTGCGAGATGGGACATTCAGGATGGCACGGGTCCAGAATTTGGTGTAAACAAACAGGAAATCCATGGATTCCTCCTGACCTTCTGTATTGAAATGGTTCAGGCTGGTGCTGGACGTGTAGTGATATGGAGGATATTTTCTTGGGGCACTAGCAAAGGGTGTACCTAATAAAGTGAGGCTGTGTGATGTGTATAATGATCTACGTAATGAGATAATCATTGAATTTGTGTCTTTTATATCTGACTGGAGCTCTCCTTAAATTGTAGGGCAGAGGGTGACAGATTTGCTCTGGAAAGGGCCATCCCACAAAACCCCCCCTTTTTTTTTTTTTTTTGTAAAAAATAAAAAAAAAAAAAAAAATAAAAAAAATTGATCGCCCAAATAAAATCCTTGGTCCCGTTGCAACTGCTGTGCTCCTCTGCAGTATAGTGGTTGCTTATACAAGTTGGTGTTTTGAAATTCTGATAACAAGACTTGTTTATGTATAACAGATAGTCTAGTCAGGAGTGCCCAGCATGGGGAAAGAGGTAAAATGCGTATCGCTTCAGATAAAAACTCTTCAGAATATTACAAAATATTTTAAAAGAGGCACACACCACCGGTACTGTGAGGATGCTGAATTTTAACTCCGCGCGTTTAAAGCTGTCCTAGCTAACTACCCCTGCACTACCAATGTTACAGATCTGTAACCAATGCGCGTGTATACATCAAAGTTCTGGTGAGTGCACACCCTACAGAAGTGGTGGGATTACCTTTAGAAGGACACATGCACCATTGTACTTTGGGGCACAGGATTATATCGTAAATTTAAAGAAAGACTCCTGTTGAAATACCCCACTTATATTTTATTTGACATATCATATGAGTAATTATGGACTTATTGGATTTCACATATTGCATGAATAGCACTTTAATTCTATATAATTTGTGCACTTAATGTACTTTTTAAACGTGAATACAAGTTTGCCAGATTTTTTATATTTATGATAGTGCTGCACTTTCTGAATAGTTGAATACATGTATATTGGGATTCGTTGCCTATACCTGTTACGTGGCTAGCAGCTACCTGGAGATAAGTGTGTTTAAATATTTTTGCTTTGTATATGATACTGCGACTTGAGCCTTATGATATTTTCTTTAACAGGAAGAGTTCCTGGGTATTTTGGGGCTCTGTCCTCGCATCCTGAATGAGTTTTTAGTAAAAAAGGGGAGGACTCTGAAAGTGTGTGTTAGTTTGACTGTAACTTGTGGATGTGGACTTCAGTCTACAACAGCCAGCGGGACGGACTGACCAACTCAGGGGGCAACGGCCAGGGCAATAGAGGCTCATTATGGCCACCGTGTCCTTGCCCAAACTCAAAAAAAGCCCTATGAACAAAAAAGGTACCAGGTGCAATCTCATGGGGCCCCCTACTTACCCCAGGGCCCTCGGGCAGTGCAAGAGTTTTTCCCAAATGGTCAGTCCGCTCCTGCAACATGATCATGATCCCCAGGGTGGCAATGTGATATTCTCTGTATTCAACTACCCCTGGTGTTATTTACCTAATAAACTGTTGAGTATCCAGTTATAGTTTGGTGCATTTAAGAATGCATGCAGCCTCTTTACTTCAAGGTTCACACGACTAGTGAAGATGGCGATTTAACATCCTTGATGTTTCAGTGCAATTTATGTAGTGCAAGCTGCAGTCGCTTTTTGATAGTTTTTTACTACTGTGACTCATCCCTGGCTGTTAGCAGTGGTGAGGAGTCCATGAGTGGTAAGCAGGCATGTGTCGTCCATAAGCTTCCTGATAACAATGATGAGTTATGCAAGCTGCTGTCACTCAGGGGTCTGGTATGGATTTTATGAGGGGACCACATGGCAAAAAAGACAAATATAAAAAAAAAAAAAAATCATGGAGGTTCCCCCCCCCCCCCAAACTCCCACCACTTATTCTTTTGGTCTGGTATGGATTTTAAGGGGCAACCCATGCAAAAAGAAAATGGAGTGCCCCCTTCCCCAATCCTTACCAGGCGCTTATCTGAGCATGCAGTCCGGTAGGCAGGAATGGAGGTGGCAAGTGAGTGCCCTCCTCCTGAACCATACCAGGTCATATTCCATTATAAGGCTTGGGGATCCCCCCGGCAAAGCATCCTTGTCCCCATGTTGATAAAAGACAAAGGCCTGCAGGGGTAGCTTACTATGCAGAGACATATGTGGCCTTAAGAAGTATAGCATATGGGGGGTAAAGGGTGACCTTGCAAGACTAATGGTGACAGTCTCTGTTAGGGTTGAGAAACCCATTTGCAACAAATCAGAATTCATCTGCTGACTGAGCTCAGCAGAATGAATTCTCCTAGTTTTGCTATGGGTTACTGAACTTAAATATTAGCACTTAAAACTAAACTTCAAAGGAATTTTGTACTAAATAAGGCACCTGCTTATAGATTCCCTGTGTCTAACAAGCGGTCACAAAGAAGCCATAAGACAATTGAAAGTGAATGGAGAGAGCTTCTGTTGTGTGCCTAAATAAAACAGCACAAAAAACTAATCACTTACTCTGAATTTCTGGGTACTTCATCATTAACAAAAGGCCCCATCGGAGAGTGGCAGAGGTTGTGTCCATCCCAGCAGCAAACAAGTCCGTGATAAGAGAATGTCAGATTTGCATCAGTGAAAATATAACTCTGGATTTGGCTTTCCTGAAATTCACACAGTTAAGAGTTATTTCATTCTTCATCTGGTATATATCTTGCTTTAAAACATTTTGAAAACCTGCAATCAAATTTGATATTTCTACTTTAAAAGGGAATGTGTCTTTAAAAACTTGGAGGCACCAATTGCTTAGTTTTCCTTCAAAAAAAGTTAGTTGACTGTTTAAAACATGCTGAAACCTCAAGCTTTAAAAGGCCAACACTTTTAATTTTGTTTTTGACTAAGTAGGGAAAGGCTAACACTTCTATTAAGTGTCTATTGTTGGAGGTTTTCATATTGGGCAGATTTTTCATTCACATACAGTACAATGGGTGTAGTATAGCCAGTATTGGCCAATTTGCTTAGAGCACCCATATTTCATCCCAGAAACACATACTATTAGATTTTTAAGTGGAGGTTTGCAGTACAGTTTAAATTCAGCAACTTGCCAAATGTCATTTGAAAGTACTTCAAAAATGTAATTTTGCTTTCAACACCCAATTTTGAAATGAATGGATTTTCCTAAGCAAAAGCAATATATAACAAATCATTTATTTGAGAAAAATTTTCCCATCTTGCTACTTCAAATTTCTCGCCACTGCAATTGAAACTGAATGTCAATTTGTCGCTGATTATGATTAACGATCAGAAAATCAAACTAGTGTTCTTAAAATGAAAAATTTCCAATAAAAGTCTAAATAGTGTATGGCCACCATATTTTTTGAGCTGCATTTATCTTCATAGGTCAATGCAGGTACAATTTCTCTACCATACATTTCTTCATTTTCTTTGATTTAGATATATTTATGCACCCCATGTAAAGAGCTACATCCTACAAATCTCTTGAAATATTAATTCCAGTCGAATAAAACAACCTTATTTTATTTTACTGAACAGTTGGCGACATCTCCAAACATACTTTCTAGCCTGTTTAATTTTAATTAAATCCCGGTCACTGGGGACCTGTAGCCTGGAGATTTCTAAGAGATTTGGGAGGGATGAAATCTCCAATCCTGCTCCATGTTTTGAGAGCAGTCAACGCGATTGCACAGGTGTGTGCGGGCCTTTGTGTGGAGGCCAGGCCATGATTCTGGGCTCCACCCTGGCAGACAGGAGTCAGGAGGGCTCCACCCTGGTAGGCAGGAGGTCTCTGCCTTGGAGTCCGGAGGGCTTCACCAAGGAGAGGTGGAAGTCAGAGTAGCTGTGTGCTAGTGGCTAGCTGTGTACAAAGTGTCATTTTGGAAAGAGTCTGCAGGAGACAGACATACAACTGTGTACAAGCCAGGAGGCTGAATATTGTTTCATGTGTGTGATGGTGGATACCCCTGCGTGGGAAGCTTTATGGAACTTTTTCTTTAAATAAAAGTGGGCTAAAAAGGCCTTAAAAAAAGAAGCGAGTTGCTGTGTGCTTTAAAAAAGCTCTACCATTTGAAGCAAGTTCCCACAGTACATACTCAGTACCTGAGCATTAATGAAGTGTTACTTTGTGAACTTCACATAAAGTTTACTAAAAAAAACAAAACAAACACAGACACTAAATGTAAACAAGGCTGGGATCTCATGGGTGACATCATTGAGCAAATATGGTCATGTCAAAAGTGCCTTGTGTATTACCGTATTTTTTGATCCATAAGATGCACCAGACTATAAGACGCGCCTAGGTTTTAGAGGAGAAAAAAAGAAGAAAAAAAAAAATATTCTGAACCAATGGACTTCAGACACAGTACAGGAGATGACCAGAGACTGCGGATACACAGTACAGGGAATGACCAAGAGACTGCAGATACACAGTACAGGGAATGACCAAGAGACTGCAGATACACAGTACAGGGGATGACCAAGAGACTGCAGATACACAGTACAGGGGATGACCAAGAGACTGCAGATACACAGTACAGGGGATGACCAAGAGACTGCAGATACACAGTACAGGGGATGACCAAGAGACTGCAGGATACACAGTACAGGGGATGACCAAGAGACTGCAGATACACAGTACAGGGGATGACCAAGAGACTGCAGATACACAGTACAGGGGATGACCAAGAGACTGCAGATACACAGTACAGGGGATGACCAAGAGACTGCAGATACACAGTACAGGGGGATGACCAAGAGACTGCGGATACACAGTACAGGGGATGACCAAGAGACTGCGGACACAGTACAGGGGATGACCAAGAGACTGCGGACACAGTACAGGGGATGACCAAGAGACTGCGGACACAGTACAGGGGATGACCAGAGACGGCAGACAGTGCAGGGGATGACCAGAGACGGCACAGTGCAGGGGATGACCAAGAGACTGTGGACCTTTTGTGGAGGGAGGGGGAGCGGGTACCTGAATTTGACAGTTGTCCTCCCTGTGGGTACTCGGCTGATAGTCGGGTGCCCACTGTGCATGCGCGAGAAGCACTGCGCTTTGTGAATGGCTCGGCATCTTCTGGGATCTGTCATGTGTCCCAGAAGACGCTGGACTATTTACAAAGCGCAGCGCTTCTCGCGCATGCATAGTGGGCACCCGGCTGTCACATTTAGGTGCTCACACTAAAGATGGGAAGACTGTACAGCATTGGACCAAGGAACAGGTAAGGTCCTGCTGCAGAGAAGAGCTGAGCGGCTGGCCCAGTATTCTGACACAGTGGCGGCGGCGGCAATACCGGACACCACTGCATATTTGCTCCATAAGACGCACTGACATTTCCCCCCCTTTTTTTGGGGGAAAAAAGTGCGTCTTATGGAGCAAAAAATAAGGTACTTAATTTTTTTGACTATGTATTTTTAATAGAGGGTGTGTGTAGGGGCGCATCAATGGAGGAGGCTGTGGGCAGGAGATGTCAGCCAGGAATGGAGGAGACACTGGATAACAGGCACTGGGCAGCACTTCTAGAAGTTGAAGCAAACTCCATATGCAACAGGGTAGAGCAGTAAGGTGCAGGTGCTTCTAAGTGCAGTATATCCAGAAGAACTTTAATGATGACAGTTAGAAATGCTTACAAACTTGCAGTTAGAAACAGACTCAGTAAGATCGTCAGGATCCGGAGGGAAGTTTGTAAGTGTTGCTAACAGTCATCAATACTTCTGGATATTCTGCACTTAGAAGAGCCTTCCTGTTCTATCCTCTTCCTTATGTATTTTTAATGGAGGTTTTTAGATTCCTATAAACCACATGACCACAGACTCCCACAAGCACCATACCAGGGTTGTGAGGAAGAGGCCCTTGTCCTCATCAAAATGGACCTTCCTGGAAGGTAAGCTCCCCATTTTGAGGGCTGGCAGTTAGGTATTGTCAGGGATCGCGGCGTCCCATTGGCCGGCGCATGCGCGCTGGCAACGGCTCACGCCGGGACACAGGCACCAGGTCCCGGCGAGCCGGAGATGACAGGACGCCGCGCATGCGCAGTAGTGGAAGCCGCGGGCGCGCCTCGGGCGGCCAATGACAGCCCGGGGGCGCGTCCTGGGCGGCCAATGACAGTGCAGGGCGCACTATTTAAAGATGCCCTGCACTGTCAGCAATTGCCGCAAGGTCTTCCTATGTTCCCGAGTTCCTGCACCTGTCTAGTGACCCTGTTTGACCCCGACTACGCTGCCTGCCCTTGTGATTGACCCGGATTGCCCTGACTACGCTGCCTGCTCCTGTGATTGACCCGGATTGTCCTGACTATTCTGCCTGCTCCTGTGATTGACCCGGATTGCCCTGACCATTCTACGGACTGACTTACCCTGCTGACCCTGCGTGTGACCCGACTACTCTTTGCCCGCCGATTCTGTACCTCGCTTACCCCCACGGGACCACGATCCGTTACTACCCTGCTGGGGCCGCCATCCGCTTCACATCTGGCTCTCCGGTACCTGCATACGTCCCCGGAGGTCTCCTCAGCCACTGGTGGGCCTGCTCAGAGGTCGTGACCTGGTCCGGGACTGTTTCAAGTCCATCCCCACCATCAGGGGCCCTGGTGAAAGCACAGCCCGGGCTTAGACCCCACGCTCTGGGTAGGTCTGTCAGTTGGCAGCCTGAGGCACCACCTGGCGGATCCTAACAGGTATAGATCAGAAAGGGGAGAACACTAACTAAACCCAGGTATGTTCAATTCAACACAACTCCTTATAATTGTCTTCTAAGGTTTTCACAAGTGCAAAAATTGCCCCTTTGGTATATTAATTAACCATTTAAAAAATTGACAGTTCATATTGAGAAAATAACTATTGCTGCCAATTGGTTTCTAAAAATGTTTTTGTAAGTATCAGATCTTTTTCAATAAAAATGTCTAAGTCTAGGAATTTGACCCTCTCCTTACTAATGTGTGGTGTAAACTGGAGGTTATAGGTATTGTTTGTACCTTAAATAAATAAATCCAATTCCTCCCTTGATCCTCTCCAAATGAAGATAATATCTTCTATAAAGCCCTTCCACATTATGAGATTTGCACCTACAGTATCTCAATTGAGTACACCCCTCACATTTTTGTAAATATTTGATTCTATCTTTTCATGTGACAACACTGAAGAAATGACACTTTGCTACAATGTAAAGTAGTGAGTGTACAGCTTGTTTAACATGTAAATTTGCTGTACCCTCAAAATAACTCAACACACAGCCATTAATGTCTAAACCGCTGGCAACAAAAGTGAGTACACCCCTAAATGAAAATGTTCAAATTGGTTCCAAAGTGTCAATATTTTGTGTGGCAACCATTATTTTCCAGCACTGTCTTAACCCTCTTGGGCATGGAGTTCACCAGAGCTTCACAGGGTGCCACTGGAGTCCTCTTGCACTCCATAACGGTGGAGTACCACCTTAAAATTCCTAATAGACCCTCTAAGAGTCTATGTGCATAATTAGGGGGATTAGGGGGAACCCAGCACATTGTTTTTATTTTTGTGTCTTTTTTTTTTTTTTTTTTTATGCTGTAAGATATGCCAGCATGAAGGCATCTTCCCCAGTGATCAATGATGGAGCAAGTCGCAATGTAGAAGGCTGCCACAAGAGCTGATCTGTGTCAAGCATTTGCAAACACAAGAAGGAACTGCACTATACACTCCCTCTATTGAAAAATATTACAGGCCAAGTTAGGTTATACTTTATAGAATGATATATATACCTCCTTTTGTTTGACAAGGAATACATCAACAACATTTCTCTGGTCGTTGACATCCAGCTGCTTCCTCTGGTTGGTGAACGTTTCTCTGATAAAGGCATGCAGTTCCTCTAAGTTGGGGAGGACTTCATTATGACTGCCAGGTAGCCAACGGAGCAAAGATGGAAATGAATTATAGAGCTGAAATAAAAAGGCAAATAATGGCCCTGATATATTAGTAATAGTGCAAGTGGTGATATGTAACACATTCTGAAAACACAACAAATACAAATAATAATAGGTTCTATATACATTCTCTGAATCAACTATTTTTACATGTTCTCACATTGCATTGTAATACATTATTCATATTCCATGGCAAATACTACACAGCTGTCAAATAAGAATACAGTAAGTAAAAACGAGGATCACACTCATGGGAGGGCTTCAGTACAAAATTCCCGCTTGTATTCTTCCTTGGGTATTGGTTGACAACCCTCTATATACATATTCATCTATCAAACGTGCAGTGTGAATACTATATACACCTACATGCGAATACATCCCCTAATGAACATCACCTTCCCCCAGTAAACAAATGCAGCATGTACAATAAACTAGAAACACAAATTAAAAATGGAATAATGAATCAAAAAGCCAACTATATTACATGTGACATATGCATACATCACCATCCATGTGATATTTTGAATAAATATAAGTTCTCATAATAATGCAATATATCCACTATGCACGCATTAGTTGCTTCTTGTGCAATATTTCACAAATGAGTTCCACCACCATTCACTATCCACCTGAATGTATTGACCTATAGGATCTCATTCGCCTCCTTAGGGTACCAAATTTTCCGATTACCTCCTCTCTTCATGTCTTGACAATAGGAGCAGCCATGTACCATAATACCCATCAAACAGTTCTTTCAGGTTAAAAAAAAATTAAAACCTTGCACAGTGTTTTACTTCTTTAAAATTCACTTTACTAAAACAATAAGAATAATATTCACAAATATAGTGCACTACAATGTTAGTGCACTGCCAGTAACCTCCCACCAAATGCCCTACTAACTGATGTCACTGAATATAATGTGAAAAGTAATCAACTGTCTCAGCTATTATTGTCACTGTGTATAATCCGTCATCAACTAGAAGTAATCCTATTTGGCCACAGAAAGTCTGGAACCACTTATCCCTGTGGCACCTCTATGAACTATGCATGTTTTTATGAGACCAATGATTATTTTTAAATCTACTAAAAACATGCAAAACATAAAGAGGGCTGTCGGTTGATGTCACAGAGCTGCTCCAGGCTCTGAAAGGATCCTGACAATAATGTTGGGATCCACCCAGATGCCTGATTGGCAGCTAGCTCAGCTTTTTAGCATGCTGCTGAGTGACCGAGTCAGTTGCTTCCACCTCCTTCTCAGCTCAGCTCCAATGAGCGCTGGAGGGGCAGATCAGAGAGCAGTGACTGACAGAGAGCTGAACGATCAGTGGTCATGTGATTGCTCAGTTCTTAGACCTGGAGGAGGATAGCTGCATCATCACACCAATGCTATGGGAGAGAGTATAGATGTATATTTTTTTTTCCATTCACACACTTCTCCTTTAAAGTTTTTTTTATCACTTTTCATAAAAAACCAAGGACATCCTGGACTTGCTGAGGTCTCCATTGGATTCATATTTGACATTTTCCTGATTTTAGTTCCTCTGTTGCCTTTTAAAATGATATTCCATGTCACATGCCTAAGATTTACTGCCCCCCACTCTTTCCACTGCCCACTTTTTTTCCATAATGCTCACAGTGAATTAGCATCTGCTTATGGTAACCTCTCTCAACCAGGGTTCCAATGAACCCCAGAGTTCCTTCAGAACAGTGGTCTCCAAACTGAAGCATGTGGGCCAGATGTGGTTTGCGTGCCTTCATCCAGCCCTTGGAGCACTGCTACTCTCACTATTCCTCGTTTTACTGACTACAGGCTCTATGTAATAATTTTTCTCCCACCAACTGCTAAGGCATTGTTTACTCCCACTGATGCCAGGGCATTTTCTACTTCCACTGGCCACAATCCAGCCCCCTAATGTCTGAAGAACAATAAACTGGCCATTTGCTGAAAAAAGTCTGGAGACCCCTGCTCCAGAGGTTACTAGGGGTTCCTTGAGCACTGAGCAATTTTTTGCCCCTTGCAGATCACTGTCTCCCGCTCCCTGCCTATACACAAGTGTCCAGCTGATCCTTCAGCAAGGATCGCGGGAAGCTCCTGTCTGCCCTCAAGGTAGGGTGTGGTCTTACAGGGGCACTCTGATGGGCACATTTAATGTTAATAGAATGTGTCCATCAGAGTGCCCCTTAATATAAATGTGCCCATCAGAGTGCCCCTTAATATAAATGTGCCCATCAGAGTGCCCCTTAATATAAATGTGCCCATCAGAGTGCCCCTTAATATAAATGTGTTCATCAGAGTGCCCCTTAACATAAAATGTGCCCATCAGCATGACCCTTATTTTATATTAAGGGGTACTCTGATGGGCCTATTTTATGTTGAGGGGCACTCTGACAGGCCCATTTTATGTTAGGAGTCTCTCAGATGGGCCCATTTTATGTTAAGGGTCTCTCAGACGGGCCCATTTTATGTTAAGGGTCTCTCAGACGGGCCCATTTTATGTTAAGGGTCTCTGATGAGTGAGCTCCCGCTATTTCTGACAGGCCCATTTTATGTTAAGGGTCTCTCAGACGGGCCCATTTTTATGTTAAGGGTCTCTCAGACGGGCCCATTTTATGTTAAGGGGAACTCTCAGATGGGCATATTTTATGTTAAGGGGAACTCTCAGATGGGCCCATTTTTTGTTAAGGGGCACTCTGATGGGCATTTTTCATTTCTTCTGTTAAGGAGCGCTCTGATCTTTTAGGTTAAGGGGGTTCACTCTGATGGGCATATGTTATGTTAAGGGGAACAAATGGGCACATACTGTGGAAAGGGGCACTCTGATGGGCACAACTGATGTGCTGGGAATACATGATGTAAAATGGCACTCTGGTGGCGACACCCTATTCAGACCTTGGCCAGAAGAAAATTGTAGTGACCGTAGTTTTAATTCAATACTCCTCATCTAAGGGCTATTACAATTGGCTGTATCAATCTCAATCACATGACTTAGTCACACAATAAATTTTGGCCTGTGCAAGGTTGACCTTTACTTACCAGTCTAATATCTGCTTAAACCTTCTCTTCTTCTCATCCTTCTTCTTCTCCTTCTTCTCACTGTACATACACAAAACAGAAATTAAATATCACAATGTGAAATGTTCCACATGCACACAGTTAACACAATCAACAACCTGCACTGACTCCAAAAATTACCTTTTTTTAATGAACAAGCATATTTGTTAGTATATATCATTTTTAAAAACCCCAATTGACCAGCATCCACTTAAAGACTTGAGCAGGTTACTAAACTTACAAAAACCATTGGGCTTCCGATGATTCTGACGTTGTCATTGATGATTGTCAAAAGCCTCTGAAGTTTTGGATCATCATATTCAAAGCGATGGCCCATTAGGATGGAAACAATGATATTGGCCACAGCAGCATTCATGATTGCCGTGTTTTCGAATGGTGCTCCTGCAAAAAGATCAAAGCTTTCCTAAAACCTTTTAAAGCCCAAATGAATTTCCAGCTTAATTCAGCTAAAAATGTTCCAGACAAAAGGTTTTCCAAGTTTTACATTTCTGTTTTTAATTTATAAAAGTAGACACAGGCTTAGTAGAAAAGCCTGAACCTGACAGCATGGTGCAGAGAAAGACCCTTGATCACCGTTTGAAAGCAGTGGTGTCTCTGCAGTAGTCCAACATACCCTCCTCTCTGTCAGAGCTAGAGCTCTCCAATGAACAGAGAGCGTTAGATTTTATGATTGCTCAACTGGATTTGTGTACTAATGCTGTGGCTGCTTTTAAGAGCAAAAACAACTTTAAAGTAGTTCTAAAGTAAAAATGTTTTTCTACCTGCAGCACTTCTCTCTCTTCCAGGTCTCATATCCATAGGCTCCTGCTCAGGGGTGTATTTACCACAAGGCAAACAAGGCATTTGCCTAGGGCGGTGCTTTTCTGGGGGGCAGCAGCTTTTTACAGGTGGGCAGTACCGTCCCCTGAAAGAAGGAAAGGAAGAAGGGACACACGCAGTAAGGAGATCTAAGAGAGGCTGCAGGCTGTTAATAGTGTATGCAGAGCCTGACTCTTGTTCCAGGGGATGTCAGGAGCTGTGAAGGTGAGTGTCTTATCTCTTGCCGGAGTGGGGGGGTTTGCAAGGGTGTGGGGGGTGGTGGTAGTAAAAGGCTCTCTCGGGTGGATGTGGGGGGGCTGGGGTGGTGTTGGTCAATGTCTGGCTCTCTTCATGGGAGAGAGGGGGTGTTGGTCTGTGTCAGGGTCTCTCTGTGGGGGGGAGCCAATTTTTGTGCTGCATTGGGCAGCATGAAACCCAAATACACCACTGCTCCTGCTGCTGTCAGTCAAACTTCTGAGAGGAGGGAGTGGGGGCATGGCTTTCTGATACGGTGTAGGTCTATGGAGCCACACAGCCTGGATCAGGAGCCAGCCCACAAGGTTGCCTCCTGGTCTGCTAAAGGGGTACTGGGAAGAAGGAGGAGCAGGGGACTGCCAAAGAGGGAGAAACGGACCACTCTGCGCAATATCATTGCACACAGCAGGTAAGTATGACCTCTTTTTTATTTTATTTTTTTTAATAACTTTTACTATCACTTTAAGGCTGGAATTACACGTATCTATTTCTTTGTGCTGTATTACATTTACACGCACATGAGCATTGTGTCACATGTTAATGTGCATTGCGTTACGGTAACCCATTCAAGTTCAGTGCGTTGCCAACCTACAGAAATGGAGCAAAAACAGACATGCAGCATAATGCTACTAGAATGTACACAGTAAGCACTTGTTTACTTGTGTGTTTTGTGTGGATTGTTTTTCAGAGGGCATTTGACAGGGAGTGAGGAGGATATATTTTGCTTTCTCACCCCCGCTTTAACCCTTAAAATGGTTGCCTACTGTGCTACAACCGTGTGCATTTCAGCATTACCCAATCCACTTGAATGAGTTACATTCCATGATGGTATCACCTACTAAAAGTAAAATGCTGTTTAATTGTACAGTGCTGAGTGGCTGCATGCCCTAGTTTAGGTGGGCAGTTGGGAATGGTAGAACTGTGCCTCAGCCTCCTGCTTTTATTGTAACCCTTCCCCCCCTCAGTCACCAGTATGAACATACCCTTAGGTGGGAAAAGCTCAAAGTAAATACAAAGATAAAACTTTTTTTTTACATTTTGGATACTTTAGTAAACAAGTAAAACTTGGGGGAATTTTTGGGGAGGTTTCTCTTTAGTTGCTATTCTGGAAACACAACATAAAACAAGCCAAAATCTTTCCAAAGTGATTGTTCCATCTTGAAATTAGAGAATATGTATCTCCCTAGCAAGTCCTGATTGCACTCTCACCATTCTATTCCAAAATAAATGTAGCCAGCTGCTTGGATAAGAATGAAGAGCGAGAGGAACACTGGCTGCAGCTGCTCTCTGTAGCTGCTGCCCTGTGGTGCTATATCAGCAAGAGGAGGGAGCTGCTGAGCATGCAGTATTTAATAGGAAGGCAGCACTGCACTGTGGGATCTGTAAACCAGAGGAGAGAGACTCTGGTAAATGCAGTTGAAATGCTGTCAATTACAGCAAAGGAAGATTGCCAAAAGGAGGGGAAAGAGCTGCATTTTCTCAATTGTAGAAGACACAGCTTCCTATTGAGCAAGAATGAAGAATGCACATTGCTGTCCAGTGTGTGCATCATCACTGCTGCATATCTGTGGTCTGAGCGGGATCCAGAGTTCAGGAGACAGAGTCACCTGGGTGCAGAGCAGAGAGTGGACTAATTGCTGTGTGTGACCGGTTGGTGAGCTGCAATATCACTGGGACTGGTGAGCTTCTACTCTGCGGATTACATCTGCTGCTAGAGAGACTGAGCCCCTTAGGAACTGGCCATACAACCATCAAGTAGCCTTATTGCTGCTTACAGGCTCACCTGGGACTACTGATGTGCACCAATGGTACTACTAGACCCCAACGCTAGCTGTCTGAAGAGTTAGGACTAAAGACTGTCCCTTTACAGCTGCTACACAGAGATCTTCACTTATTTCTTTTGCGAAGAGGTACCGCTCAGGGGATATTGCACCAAATCCTAGCCATTCTCCTAGAGTTCACTCTAGACTAGTTATATTATTATTATTTACATTGCAGTTAAGTCTTATATGCAATGTTTATTGTTCACTTTGCTAATTCATGAGTTAATCCCAGTCTAGTTGTACATAACTCTATTCTACGTTACCTTGGCATAGTGATTGTTCTGTCTAAGAACTGTGTCTGAACCTGCCTTCTGTGTGTTCCTTCATACTCAAACCACCATTTGTTCTGACCCATACATTGAGTTCATTTACTACTAAACAGTCTTGTGTCTATTTCCTGGTGCTAATGCATAACCAAGTTAAAAAGTATCTACAATTGTGTTTTATAAAGCGCTTGCAGTAACCTTCACTTGACTAACCCCCTGTGCCAGAGGGGTTAAGGTTGTTCTTGGAGTTGAGGGGCACAACATAAAACACAAATTCCCAACTGGCTCCTTCAGGGGTAGAGCTAAAAAAATTAAAAAATAAATTTTTGGATTTCGATACTCCTAAACTGTCATTCAGTGCCTAAGAACATTGGCAAAATTTTATAAAATTAAAGCAGACAGGATATGGAGCAGCAATAGTAACCAACCAGCTTCCAGCTTCAGCTTGTTCAATTAGGCTTTGAAAATGAAAGCTAGAAGCTGACTGGTTGTCATGCACAGCTGTCTGATCCAGTTTTGATAAATTCCCCTTACTGGTTTTTCATGTTTCTGGTTTCAGCACCCCAGAACACCAACATAAATGAATAAAATACCAGTATTTTCTGGCGTATAAGACTACTTTTTATACTTAAAAAATATACCCCAAAAATTTTAGGTCGTCTTATACGTGGGATATAAAATGTGAACTTTGAGTTTGTTTGAGTCAAGCTGGCTGGATGTGTGGTAATACTGTACATACAGTATACCGTGCTGAGCCAAGCTGGCTCAAAACAAATGTCCCTATGACAGATTAATCTGTCAGCCCGCTGGATGTGCGGTATATACAGTATACTGCGCTGAGCCAAGCGGTTTCAAAACGTACCGGTACGTCCCTACTGTAATCAGCCCACTGGATGCGTGTATGTACGGTAGCTGCGGCTACATACAGTATACACTGGGCCAATCATGGCGAGTGGTGTATTCTACTAATGAATACTAAGCCTGCTCGGATTGGCTGAGTCAGAGAGGTGGGCTGATGATGTCACAACCTCAGCCAATCCGAGCAGGCTTTGTATTCGTTAACAGAATACATCGCTCACCGTGATTGGCCCAGTGTATACTGTATGTAGCCACAGCTACTGTACATACATGCACCCAGCGGTCTGATTACAGTAGGGACGTACCGGTACGTTTTGAAACAGCTTGGCTCAGTATACTGTATATACCGCACATCCAGCAGGCTGACAGATTAATCTGTCATAGGGACATTTGTTTTGAGCCAGCTTGGCACAGCGCGGTAAACTGTATGTACATTACTGCACATCCAGCGGGCTGTATATATACTGTATACTGTATGTAGCCGAAGCTACCGTATTACCGCACATCCAGCGGGCTGTATATATACTGTATACTGTATGTAGCCGAAGCTACCGTATTACCGCACATCCAGCAGGCTGTATATATAAATGTATACTGTATGTAGCCCAAGCTACCGTATTACTGCACATCCAGCGGGAACCATCTGATTTGGAATTTGATCCATATGATGACTGTCTTACAAAATGTATCACAAGATGTCATTCATGAACTTATGATGTCAGAGGATGAACATGAGGATTTCAAAGGATTTTAAGTACCAGTAAGTTATAACCATTTCAATAAAAAAATCTAATGTTTTTAAATGGTGTTGCCTCGGAAGGGGGGTAGGTAGTCTTATACGGCGAGTATAGCCCAAAACCTATGTTTTAACTGGATTATTATTAGGGGGTCGTCTTATACACCCAGTCGCCCTATACATCGGAAAAATACGTTACTTTTAAAACATGGCATGTTTACTGCTGCCATCTGCAAATGAGGGAGCAAAGTGTACAGGATGGACTTAATAGAAGGAGGACATTAATAAAAAAAATCCATATATGTGATTTGATGCTGGCCAATACATATTTATAATTCCTGTAACATTTATGTTTCTAAGAGTTGACTGTGTGATTGTTATTCATTTTAAAGACACCCTGGATGAGTCTATTCCTGGTTATAGTAATAATTATTTTTTCATTTTTTTCCAGTTTAATTCTGCACATTGTGCTTAAATTGGTTCTAAAAGGCAGAAGGGTTTTTTACCCTAATGCATTCTATGTGCATGGGAGCAGAGGCTCTTTACACTCTCTCTTCTCATTGGCTTAGACACAGCAGTGAAGAGGGAGCATGGGGCATGGCCGAGCTGCACTCGTTGTGTCTTATGGACACAGAGGCAGCTCAGAAGTGAGCAAGCATGAGTGCCCCCTTAGCAAGTGGTTTGCTCTGGGGGCACTTAGTGGGGGGGGGGGGGGGGAACAATACCAGCGGTGAGAGATCCGAGAAGAGGAGGATCAGGGCTGCTCTATGCAAAATCATTGCCAAAGCAGGTATGTATAACATGTTTAAAAACTTTGCCTTTACAATCAATTTCATTCACAGACCTAACACATCACAATAGGGATTCTAATTTCCAAAATTGACATTTTTCAAGTCCAATGAGGTTTGAAAATATTGGTCACATGGCTAACTTAGGGCTTGATCACATGGACAGCCAGGGTCGGCTGTAAAAAATAGGCAGCTGAGCTGCAGTTTTACCTTCCCTTGATTGCCCCCCTTAAAAAGGGAAAAGAAGCCAAAAGCTCTTTGACTGTACTTCTCCTCTGGGTCATAGGAGTGCAGTTTGTTCTGCACTCCTGTGACCAGTTTTCAGCGAACACCCGCTGTCGGCTGATGTCAGCTGGTCCAGGCTGGGGAAAGATCCTGATTTTAAAGCTGGGATCCACCCCAGAGTTTGGAGTGGCATCCGGGTCAGCCTCTCAGCAATCTGCTGAGAGCCTGTGCCAGAAGCTCCCTCCCCATCCACAACCCAGAGTTCCAGTGAGCACGAGGGGAGGAGAGGGGAGCAGAGCAGAGAGCGGTGACTGACGGTTACCGCTCTCTGCTCACAGTGGCGGTGAAAACTCAGCAATCAGTGGGCATGTAATCCCCGAGTTCTCACACTTAGAGCCGGCGGGGGACAGATACAGAAATCGGACCATCTAGGCAAGTAATTTGGGGGGAAAAGAAAAAAGCTCCAAACTTCTCTTTTAAGCTGCAGTGGCAGCTACATGGGGTTGTATGCAGTGGTGTATTTAGGTCTTGTGCTGCCCTAGGCAACACAAAAATCGTCTGCCTCCACGGACACCGACCAACACAACCCCCCCTTCCCCCTCCCACAGGAAGAGCCTGACATTGACCAACAACACCCCTGTACCTCACCCAAGAGAGCCTTCCACTACCCCCCCCTGGGATAGAGACTGGTTCAAACGCTTTCACAACAGGAAGGAAACAACTGAGGATGAGCCACGTTCAGGTCAACAAGCAGAACCCAAGACATGATCTAAGGAGGGTGACAAATGTTGGCACAAGATCAGCGACTGACTCTACAACACTCATCTTCACAGCTCCAGACATCCTCTGGAACGATAGCCAAGCTCTACATACTCCAAGCAGCCCGCAGCTTCTCTCAGTTCCCGCTTGGTTCCCATGGTGCGCGTGTCCCTTCTTCCATCCCTTCTTCTGGGGGAGGTGCTGCCCCTCTGAAAAATGCCACCCTAGGCAAGTGCCTTGTTTGCCTTGTGGTAAATACGCCCTTGGTTGTATGCACACCACAGGCAGTTGAATGTCATCCACTCAAATGTATAAGGGCATGCTGCAAAGCATTAACTGTTAACTGTTGCACAGGAATGCATTATGCATTTTGTGCAATTTAAATCACATGCAAAACACAGTACATTTGCGATCTGCACCGGGTGTAAATAAAGTTAACGACACGACAAACACAGCTCACAAACGCAGTGCGTTTGCCCACACCGAATTGTAAGGTACTTTTGTACCATGTGATCCAGTTGCAGTGCAGTGCGTTTTAAAAAAATAGTGCATGCACTGCTATTGGTGCAGCGCAGTGTGATTTTAGCCCATTCATTTTTTAAAATTTCAATTTAAATTTCCATTCAATATTTAAAATTTGCACCACACAGAACCGCATGTGAATCATACAGGAATGCATTCAGCTGCGGGCATGGTGTGAGCCGGCCCTAAAACAAAGGAATCTACCCAGGGGCTTATTCTAATACGGACAAGTTATTAGTAAGTGGATAAACTCATGCGCTGCCAAAATTATCAGGAATTAGTATAAACGGTCTAAAAAGGACTGCTGCTAACATCTAGCTGTGTGACACACCACAATATACAGTAAATAGATTAATGGTGCAGTGCAATCTCAAACAATAATTATGTATGTGCAAATCAAAAGAGATGATACCACAACCTAGTGCTGTAAATACAAGCAAATCTATTTACTTTATTCTAATATGGGGATTCTGCACAGAGACTCATACATTTAAAACAGGAGCAAAAGGCTCAAAATTAGAGCTGTTGCAAATATGAGACAGTTGGAGTTAAACAAACATGTGGATTGGGTGCTATGGATGAATCGGCTTTTGTGCTTGATTTTACTAACTGTGATGAGTCTGCTCCATAGTGTACTGCAGAGGAAAGTGACCATGTATAGAACTACACTGCTCAAAAGAATTTAAGGAACACTTTTTAATCAGAGTATAGCATTAAGTCAATGAAACTCCTGTGATGTTGATCGGTCAGTTAAGTAGCAGAGGGGGTTGTTAATCAGTTTCAGCTGCTTTGGTGTTAATGAAGTTAACAACTGGTGCAATATATGGGCAACAATGAGATGACCCCCAAAACAGGAATGGTTTTACAGGTGGAGGCCACTGACATTTTTTCCCTACTCACATTTTCTGATTGTTTTTCACTAGTTTTGCATTTGAATAGGGTCAGTGTCAATACTGGTAGTATGAGGCGATACCTGGACCCTACAGAGGTTGCACAGGCAGTCCAACTCTTCCAGGATGGAACATCAATACGTGCCATTGCCAGAAGGTTTGCTGTGTCTCCCAGCACAGTCTCAAGAGCATGGAGGAGATTCCAGGAGACAGGCATTAACTCTAGGAGAGCTGAACAGGGCCATAGAAGGTCCTTGACCCATCAGCAGGACCGATACCTGCTCCTTTGTGCAAGGAGGAACAGGATGAGCACTGCCAGAGCCCTACAAAATTACCTCCAGCAGTCCACTGGTGAGAATGTTTCTGACCAAGCAATCAGAAATAGACTTCATGGGGGAGTGGACTGGGTGCCCCTACGTCCTTTAGTGGGCCCTGTACTCACTGCTGGGTACCAAAAAGCTCGATTGGCATTTGCCATTGAACACAAGAATTAGTAGATCAGCCACTGGTGCCCTGTGCTTTTCACAGATGAGAGCAGGTTCACCCTGAGCACATGTGACAGATGTGAAAGGGTCTAGAGAAACTGTGGAGAATGTTATGCTGCCTGTAACATCGTTCAGCATGACCATTTTGGTGGTGGGTCAGTGATAGTCTGGGGAGGGATATCCATGGAGGGACACAGACTTCTAAAGGCTAGACAATGGCATTAGGTATCGGGATGAAATCCATGGACCCATTGTCAGACCCTACGCTGGTGCAGTGGGTCCTCCTGATGCACGGCAATGTCCGGCCTCATGTGACGAGAGTTTGCAGGAAGTTCCTGGAGGATGAAGAAGGAGGAATTGATACCAATGAATGGCCTCTACACTTGCCTGACCTAAGTCCAATAGAACACCTCTGGGATATCATGTTTGAGTCCATCAGATGCAGCCAGGTTGCACCTCAGACTGTCCAGGAGCTCAGTGATGACCTGGTCCAGATCTCGGAGGAAATTCCCCAGGACACCATCCGTTGTCTCATTAGGAGCATGCCCCGACGTTGTCAGGCATGCATACAAGCACATGGGGACATACAAACTACTGAGTTGATTTGGAGTTGCTGCAATTAAATTTCAGTAAAATGGACTAGCCTGCTGCATAATTTTTTCACTTTGATTTTCAAGGTGTCTTTGAATTCAATCCTCAGTAGGTTGGTAACTTTCACTTCCATCAAACGATGGGGCATCCTTACATTCCTAACACAATACCCAGCCCATATCAGTATAGATATTCAGCATGAGATTTTTCCCCATTGATATCTGATGTATTTTCAAAGTGTTCTTTTAATTTTTTTGAGCAGTATATATGTAGCAATCCATGAGGCCATGTTTCAAACAGATTCCTCCAGGTGGCAGCAGAAGACAAGGTTTTTTTATTACCTCATCTGAGCTTTCCTTGTTTTGTTTTACTATTAAGAAGTAGAAATGGGTAATATGTTTGGTGCTTTACTTTACTTACACAGTCATTTGGGACTTAAATTCAGTGTTCAAGTTGAACCTAAATTTATATTCCTCCAAGCATTTTACTAGAAGACAGCCAGATTACGAGAGAAAACCAAACCACAGAAGAAGCATGGCCAAGACCATCACAGTAAAATAAGAGCGGCTTTGCATGATGCATAAAGCATAAGCCACCATGTCAAACAGCCAATCAGATTCCATGATCGAACAGTGACATTGTGCTACAATCACAATTGTCGCAACAAAACCAGAACTCATTACTGACCTTTGTAAGCTTTAAAGGTTTTTACCAAATTTTTTGCACTCTTCCAAGATCGAATCTTCTATTGTTCCCTTCCCCATCCCCAAATTTCGCATAGTAGACACAGCAAATCGTTTCATGAATTTCCAGTTGTTGCCATTAGAGAATATAATACCTAAAGAAAAAGAGAAAAAAAACAACACCACACAACCTATCAGATTATGTGTATGTAAACCAAAATCTTTTACTATGTTTGAAATTGTGACCCAGGATCTTCAGGTAAGAAACTTTGAAACCAATTCACAAAAAATAAATGCTTAAAGTAATAATAATCCTATATTAGATGCAGAGGGTAGAATTTACAGTATATAATCGCAAGCATTTTATGCATTATATTTACTTCTGTGTGTCCTTTTCTCACTGTCTCCTGACCGTTGGTCCATACGTCCATGTAGCGATGGCTCCTTGGCTTGCAGGTCCTATGGAGCCTTTCTGGAGCTACCACTTTGTGCACTCTCTTGCGACTTACTTGAGAGCGATAGATGCACTCACCTCTGCATCTCTGCTTAAAGGTGGCTTACTTGGTCGTGCAAGTGTCAGGGCATTATAACCTGAGTCATATAGTCCCAAGGAAGCAGGAACGTGAATGTAGATGAGGCTGGTAGTTCAGAAATGTGGTCCATTGGCACCCAGGGACTGTGCCCCTAATAGACTTAAACAGAAAGTGGTCTATTTATAAAAAAAAAAAAAAACTTGCTGTGTGAATGCCTCAAGCATTCACACAGTTGTCATAAATAATACACGTAATTAGCCTTATATATTCATTTTCTAGGACTGTCAGCTCCACATACCATAATGCATTATTTTGCTAAATGAGATTGTGATGGACTGTCTGGCACCCTGCCTGGATGTCTCCATCAGAGAGCGATTCCTTGCCGCTGGAACACAGGAACAAGGTATTATAGCTGGGAATTGCTAGCAAGAACTACACAACACTAGCTTAGGTGCAAACATTAACTCACTTATTGAAAAAATTCCCAAAGAATTTATACCACACAAAATCAGATAAGAGCTTAATCACATGATCCTAAACAATGCAAACTTTAACCAGTAATATCATCAGTTTATCTAACAGCACATCTAATGAACAGCTAACAGTAACCTAATTAAACAGTGATCTAATTAACAGTAAGCTAATCAACAGCCAGGCACCCAGACCAGTCTGGGAGCCCACCCCAGACAGTCTGGCACCTACATGGAACAGAGTACATGGAACAGAGCAATGTGAAGACAGGTGAAACAGAGCTACTACCATCCTAATCATCCACAGCTTGCAGGCAAGGGCTTCCAGCTAGGAAGGTCTCTGTTAACCTCTTCATCTTCAAGTAATGCATTTAAAAGCTGGCATTCCGGCTATAATCAAATGCTCTCTATTAAAGTTTATGTGGTACAGTCATGTAAAAAGCCACCGTTTTTCAGTCATAAGGCCTTAATCGTGGCTGTAAGAGACCAATGTGACCAGCTCTTTCAACGAACATGTATTGTTCCAAATAAAACAAACAAACTAGGAATACTCCTTAAAAAGGTAAATACAAGAAAAAACAGTCCTTCAAAAACTTAAAAAGGAAAATATAACACAAATAATGGGGTGAAAGTGGACAGAAAAAGGTCCCTGCAGCCAGTGTCCGTGACATGCTATTTTAGAAAAAATATTATATTTACGTGTTACTAAACCCACAACAACAAAATCAGTCTGTATATGCAGCATAAAAGCATAACTGTTATACTGTGGAACCTAAGGGGTTAATCATCTGCATGGTTTAAAAATGCTGTTTGATCCTGACTTCTCTGATCCTCTCCTTCTTCCAGCGTCTCCCTCTTATCTCCTGATAAGACATACAGTATGTGTGGAGTCACTTTGCAAATGCTCAGTTTAGTGTGTATTGCTAGATAGTTTTTTTTTTCTTGGGAGAGTGCATGTGATCAGCACAGGGCCAATCAGCACTGTCCAGACAGAGGTCAGGGGTTCTGCATCCTCCTATAGCAAAATGAGAATTCCTCCTACAAGCTTTACCATGTGCTCTGCTGGACACTGATAGAAGTCACAAGACTGCTCTAACTGCTAAAAAGGTATTTAGCAGTTTATATTTACTAAAATAATTTCATGTTGTGTGTACTGTGGGAGACCAGATATAGTGAATGCAGGGTCCTGGGAGACCAGATATAGTGAATGCAGGGTCTGGGGAGACCAGATATAGTGAATGCAGGGACCTGGGAGACCAGATATAGTGAATGCAGGGACCTGGGAGACCAGATATAGTGAATGCAGGGACCTGGGAGACCAGATATAGTGAATGCAGGGTCCGGGGAGACCAGATATAGTGAATGCAGGGTCCGGGGAGACCAGATATAGTGAATGCAGGGTCCTGGGGAGACCAGATATAGTGAATGCAGGGTCCTGGGGAGACCAGATATAGTGAATGCAGGATCCGGGGAGACCAGATATAGTGAATGCAGGGTCCGGGGAGACCAGATATAGTGAATGCAGGGTCCGGGGAGACCAGATATAGTGAATGCAGGGTCCGGGGAGACCAGATATAGTGAATGCAGGGTCCGGGGAGACCAGATATAGTGAATGCAGGGTCCGGGGAGACCAGATATAGTGAATGCAGGGTCCGGGGAGACCAGATATAGTGAATGCAGGGTCCGGGGAGACCAGATATAGTGAATGCAGGGTCCGGGGGAGACCAGATATAGTGAATGCAGGGTCCGGGGGAGACCAGATATAGTGAATGCAGGGTCCGGGGGAGACCAGGAATGCAGGGTCCTGGGAGACCAGATATAGTGAACGCAGGGTCCTGGGTTTAGTAACACTTTAAGGCCACTAGATTGAGCTGAGGATCAAAGGCAATATGCATATTATACACATTACCGATGGTATTTGCGATGGATGTCTGAATGCTTGAGGAATTTAAACAGCATTTTTTTAATAGATTTTTTGAGGAATAATTTATGAAGTTGCACTACATTTGTAAATACTGATGTTTTTAAAATTTTAAAGAATTAGCTTTTAGTACCACTTTAAGAAAAACTGTATACAGTGGGGCATAATACTATAGATAATCAGACCGTAGCGCAACCGAAAGCCACCTCACATCCCCTGCCAGGAAATGACGTTCCGCTCGCAGTTAGCGAGGGTGAGACACCGCTGATGCAGCACACAGATTCATTGTGGGGATATCATTGTGACCATTGATGGGCTTTTTATACATGTGTTTGTGAGTAGCATTTTTACTGGAGTTTGAACAATTATTTGCTTTTAACAGAGTTACACTTTTGGTCTTTTCCTTTCCTTTGATGGAATATTCAGTATTCATTAGAGCTCAACACTGAGTGTGTGCATCACTTCTACCCACTGTCAGTAGGTGATATGGAAGGAGTGCAGATATAAGGAGGACTATCTTAATACAAGCGGTATTGTTTATTGTTTCACAGATAAGTCATTCCACATGGTGAGTGCAAGTGACTTGGGGGAATGTGGTTTTGAGCATGAGGCGTCTTGGAGGAGAGTTTGCATGCCATTACCAGGGCTTTTTATCTCAGAAAATTATGTACAGAAATTCAACCACGTCCCCCCAAAACACCTCTACCCCCCCCCGCACACACACCCTCCAAACCACATCAAATAGTGGGTGTGATCAAATTTCACTAAAAGTGTGAGGGTCTTAAAAGGGCAGTAAATTCCAGAAGTGTATTACACACACACACACACACACAGAGTATAGAGTTTAGGGGCATGCTGCATTCAGAGTGCAGAGTTCAGGGGCGTGCTACGCAGTAGAGTGCAGAGTTCAGGGGAGTGCTACGCAGTAGAGTGCAGAGTTCAGGGGCGCGCTACGCAGTAGAGTGCAGAGTTCAGGGGCGCGCTACGCAGTAGAGTGCAGAGTTCAGGGGCGCGCTACGCAGTAGAGTGCAGAGTTCAGGGGCGCGCTACGCAGTAGAGTGCAGAGTTCAGGGGCGCGCTACGCAGTAGAGTGCAGAGTTCAGGGGCGCGCTACGCAGTAGACTGCAGAGTTCAGGGGCGCGCTACGCAGTAGACTGCAGAGTTCAGGGGCGCGCTACGCAGTAGAGTGCAGAGTTCAGGGGCGCGCTACGCAGTAGACTGCAGAGTTCAGGGGCGCGCTACGCAGTAGACTGCAGAGTTCAGGGGCGCGCTACGCAGTAGACTGCAGAGTTCAGGGGCGCGCTACGCAGTAGACTGCAGAGTTCAGGGGCGCGCTACGCAGTAGACTGCAGAGTTCAGGGGCGCGCTACGCAGTAGACTGCAGAGTTCAGGGGCGCGCTACGCAGTAGACTGCAGAGTTCAGGGGCGCGCTACGCAGTAGACTGCAGAGTTCAGGGGCGCGCTACGCAGTAGACTGCAGAGTTCAGGGGAGTGCTACGCAGTATAGACTGCAGAGTTCAGTGGGCGCGCTACGCAGTAGACTGCAGAGTTCAGGGGAGCGCTTACGCAGTAGACTGCAGAGTTAAGGGGCGTGCTACGCAGTAGACTGCAGAGTTCAGGGGCGCGCTACACACAAAAGAGTGCAGCGTTCAGGGGCGTGCTACACACAAGAGTGCAGAGTTCAGGGGTGTGCTACACACACACAAGAGTGCAGAGTTCAGGGGTGTGCTACACAAAAGAGTGCAGCGTTCAGAGGCGTGCTACACACAAAGTAAAGAGTTTAGCCTCTTCCACAGCTGCTTACTCTGCATTCCCCATGCACATCTTGCTTTCACCCTTCTTTAACTCAGACCTCTGCATGCAACCCCTCCTCCACTGCCCCAATCTTCTCCCCCCTCCATAAAAGCTGCACCATCTTCCACATATCTTACTTTTGTTACCATATTAACCACTTGCCCTCCAGAGGATTTACCCCCTTCCTGACCAGGCCATTTTTTGCAATACGGTGCTGCGTTACTTTAACTGACAACTACGTGGTCATGCAACACTGTACATAAATTAAATATAAACAAAAGAAAACGGTCCAGTTTAAAAAAAAAAAAAATAATAATTTTACTTTTTACTATAAAACATATCCAAAAAATTTTTTTTTAAAAATGTAATTTCTTCATAAGTTTAAGCCAAAATATATTCAGCCACAGGTCTTTGCTAAAAAAAAATCCCAATATGTG